TAATAGACAGTATTATTATTACATTACTCCGTGTATAACTTAAACAAAACAAAAAACCCAAAAAAATAATAATATTGATGTTGTTGACAGTAATATTATTGTGTTTACAGTTATTTTACTGTCAACGACAGAAATATAATTACGTTGAGTGTCAACAAATCAAAAAAAATAAAAAATAAAATAAATAATGATATTACAATAATTTACTGTCAACGGCAGCACAATTACATAAATGTATTGTCAACGGCAGTACAATTACGTTAATTTACTGTCATTGACAGTATAATTACGTTAATTTACTGTCAGTGACAGCACAATTACGGTCAACGTTTAGCGGCGGACGTAAAAAAAAAAATAAAAAAAAAACACTAAAAAAAGTCAACGCCGGAGACCGGCGAAAAAATCCAGAAGAAAAGAAAAGAAAAAAGCAAAAAAAAAAAAAAAGTCACCGCCGGAGACTGGCGAAAAAATCCGAAAGAAAAAAAAAATAAAAAAATTTGAAAAGTCAACGGCGGAATCCGGCGGCAAAAATGTTTTTTTTGAAAAAAAAAAATTTTGGGTCAAAATTGAATAATTTGTGAAATTTGGGGTCAAATTGAGATTAAATTAATTTAAAGGATGAAATTGGAGCATATTAAAGTATGCTAAAAAAAAAGTCAAAATTGAATTTTGGTGGTCAAAATTGGATTTTTGTTGACAAAATTGATTAAATTGGGGTTACAATTAAGAATTGGGTATAAATGGTTGAGGGTAATATTGGGATATACATGAGTGTTTCCTATATTTATAATAAATATTAAAGGGATGGGCTTATTGGTGAAAGAGATATAGCACCTAAACCTAGAATAATAAACATGCTTGGTTGGGAACTTTATCACAAAAACCCCTATTTCAAAATCAGGATTTTAGTCCTGTAAGTTATAAAAGTTGGGAATTTTGATCTTGTGACCTGCTATAGCATGTAATGTGATGGTTGTTGAATGAGTTGGCATTTAATTTATAAAAATAATAGATTACAAATAAATTAGGTGATGTGGTTAATGAGTTGGGTGGTTTTGGAGAGAAGTTTGATCATCGATGTCAAAAACACCAAAATAAACAGAAATATTTATATATTTTATTTTTTGTTACATTTTTGCAATAAAGAACCTCAAATTGATTAAATAATACCATTATATTTTTTATGAAGGAAATAAGTATAACTGATGTTTAATTAATATTTTTTAATTTTTATTTGGTAAAAATAGTATTAAATTCATATAAATTCATATTTATTTAAAAGAATATATCAATTTTGTAAAAATAATAAACCTATTATCTTAGCAAACTCAAATATAATATTCAACTATATAGGAAATGATTAATTGGATTCGGCACCATTATGCTTTACTCTAATCGATAAGCAATAGATGAATTGCAATTTGCACCACAGAAATGACCTAAATTGGCACTTCGCACCCTAAAATTTCGAAATTGATAAAGTCCACCCTCAAATTATATTAATAAAAATTCCTATGATTCAATTTGTGCTAAAATGCATCATAGCGTATTTTTTAACAATATTAACAACACATTGTGTTTCTTAGCAATTCAAAACAGCAACTATTAAAAACAAAAATTAAAATTTCAACTCATTAAAAATTAAATATTTAATTTATCAATACAATTCACCCCTTCTTTTTACACAGATATTGCTTGAATAATTTACCGCTTAATGCGAAATTTTTCGAAAAGAAAAATTTACAGTTAAAAAATACTCCAACTTTTACTATGTTTTTCATTTTTAGTTCTTCTTTACTTTTTGAAAGCTCTAAATTTACGATATAACTCGTTTGCATGTCTTCAAGATTGACCTACATTTCGAGTGGCTTGACGTTTCGAATCCGAAAATATCAATCACCTAATTCACAATGTTCAACATGAAGATAGTATGTAAATACACTAAAACTTTTCGTATTTTTCTTAACCAAAATTAAGCTCTTTTAATTAGGGTATGATTAACATCTCTATCATTGCAAAATCATTGAACGTTTCTACGGCCGAAGAATAATCTAATTTATTTACAAATCTAACCTCAGATAGTAATCGTCTCCGAATCTTTACATCTCCTAATTCTAATTCTCATCGTCCCATGTTCGAAACCTCCTTCAATATCGCAACAAAGTCTCCGTGGTCTCGGCATATATTGGGAACAATTCGATATCAAAAATCACAATATATAAATATATATGAAATAATATAAAAATATAATTCAAGTAAACGGAGGGAACGAACCTGCTTCCACTCCTGCGGATCCATTTTCGATGCCGAGACGACAATTTTCTCAATAGCCATAGCACGGGAATATTCCTTATTACAATTCTTTTCCAAATTTGGAGCAAAATTCGCGTAAGTTGTAACCGTTTCGTTAGCATCAGAAGATTCAATCTCCGTTTCATTCAAGAAAAAGACAACGGGCTGTTGGCAAGGATCGGAGCTCATAGTACGGGTATTGAAAGTGAAAGGGCCGTTTTGAAAGCTCCGCCACGTTTGGAAAGTTTGCAAAGGCATCTCCAATTCTTTGGCCGGAATTAGTGTGGGGTATATTTGCACCGAGTACCCCCAAGAAATCGAGACGGACCATTTATAACCGTGATGGTAGCAAAAGCATTGCTGGAGTGTTCTAGAAGGGTCTAGTTCGTATGCTTTCATTAGGGCCGATAGTGACTCAAGCTGAGTCTTGTTTGGAAATATGGGCTTCACGTAGTCGAGGTGGTGAAGTGAAACGAGCGGTGCCACCGGATGTGCCGCTAGGAGCCCGAATATATTGCCTCTTATATCAATCTGAAAAAAAGAATTACAAGATTTCAGGGAATCTTTCTCCAAATTAGAGGATCAAGGAAGAAGTGTTCATAATTTCTAAACAACCACAACTAATAATCTTGAGAGTGACAATATTAATTATTTTTTGAGATTATCACCATAGCCATGTCAATAATTCCATCTCGTATGGTGACGAATATTTACGCACAACCAATTAATAGGTGACAAAACGTAAAATATTGTCACTTAATATAAGCGCACTACAAGAATCAGTGGTAGAAAAATGGCTCTTACTAGCACAAAAATTCGCAGCATAGTATACCAAATTTGTAGTAAAAAGCTTTTTCGCTATGATTTTACTACAAATTTTCTCGGCAGCGATTATGGGCGTGACAAAAGCTTTGTTGCGGTAAATGGCCTAGCAAATACCTTTTTACTACGGTAAATTCTAGCATTTATTACGACTTTCAGTTGTTGTTCACCTTAGCACAAGTCTTAAAAATCTGAATAAATATGTCTTGATTGAAAAATATGCAATTAATGTGGTATTGGAATTGTAAATTGACAGTTAATGGAAAAAAATAAATTTTCAAAAGAGACGGATATTATGGAAAGTAGGGAGTACCTCTTATGACAGGTTATCTAACATTGCAAAATAAAATCGTAGTCAAAAGCCATTTTTCTACTGATGAATGTCAACATTTTACCATGAAACATTAAATGTTATGACATAAATTCAATATAGGGATGATGAAAAAGTAATGGGTGACAATTAATAATATTAATAATTAAAAAAAAAAAAAACGTGCCGGAGGGAATTAACTACCCAAAAAACAAAAACTAGTGGTAGTAAAGTGTTGAGAAACTATAGTGTGAGAGTATCACCACATTGGTAATAATCTGCTCATCGAAACATCTAATACAGCCACATTTTTCCCAGCTGTGTAAATTAACGGTAGAGACTTGAGCAATAATGTGTGTCTTAGGTACCTTGTACTAATAAGACCAAAATCGAGCCGACCACGACAACTGTACCCTTTCCCCACACTTGTACTGGGTGAATGCGACTCATTTTTACTACTTAATATTAACATTCTTGTATATACATATGCATTTCATCGAGCGTAACATAGAATAGAACAAATGGATTTTAAACAAACACTCCGAATTACACACTTTGGAAATTGATTTAAGATGACACTATATACATTAATTAAATTTAACATCAACGAATTCGAATTTTGATTTTGAAGAACAATTTCAGGTGGCAATTATAAAATTCACAAACTAATTTGAAATCAAGAATTAAAAAAAATGTGAAACGGATTCATAATAATAATAATAAAGATATTAAAATCATTGACTAGAAATTAGGAAACAGACGAGCAAGTAACACCCGTAAATAAAGACAAACTAAACGCCTAGAAATCTCCGAAAGTTTAGTTTCATAACTAAAATTTTTGATATTATATTATTATTATTTATATAAGAAGAATATACTCAGCATAAAAAATCGGTGTGTAGGTGTAAATAACTGGACGTGTACAATAGCCACGTGTCACCTCACTAGATAATGCGGCCAACAGTTACAGGCTGACTCTTAAAATTGTTACAAGTAATTTAAAATATAGCGTAAATGAAGGCTTCATATGTCATTCTTCTTGTTAGTGGAAATTAATAATTTATATACAGTTAAATAACATTTATAAATAGCAAAATTCTATCAATTTAATATAATATTAAATTATCGAACTACTAATTTACTAGATTTTCAACGAATCAGAATTGGGAGAAATTACTATCGAGGTTCTACTGTACTGTTATTGAATTTTACCAGTAATTATGGTCATAATATTTTATATATAATTTTACAATTATATTATTATTAATATTTTATTTTAACCAACGGTTCAATTTAATAATAATAATAATAATAATAATAATAATAATAATAATAATAATAAATAAAAAAGAAAATAAAAAAGAAAAGCATATACCTGGTGAAAACCGGATTCTCTAGTGAGAGCCACACCGACTTCTCCTACACAAGCCCAAACCCTCTGATCAGAGCCGTAGAAATAATGGTACCTATTCAGGCAGCCGTCCATCACGGTGAAGAGGTGCGCCGCTAGTGGGTAACTGATCGCGAAGCCTCCGCCGCCAAACGCCATATCGTAGGCATGCATCACGTCCTGCTCCACGCTCTCCGAGTTCTCCCCGACGTACACCATCCCCCGGTGGTCGTACTTCCCCAGCACCGCCACCAAATTCTCCGGGAAGAACACCGTGTCGTCGTCTCCCATCACCAGCCACCTCACGTTCGGAAGCCCGGCCCGGAACAAATCCACCACCACCCGCGCTATCCGGACCGCCGAGTCCGACCCGATCGAGTGCCCGAACCTCCTCCACTCGGACGAAACCCGGTGCTGAATTTTCGACGGGGTCTTCGGGTCGGGTTTCTTCTCCAGGAATACGAACCCGCGGGTGGCGTTGGGCTTCCACCATAGATCCGAGTAACTGACCCGTTTCTCCCAGGTCTCGGTCGAGCCGGCTATGCCGAAGGCTATGTGGGAGATGTTTGTGGGGGATCGGTCGGAGATTAGATGGGCCATGTACAGGGTCGGGTTTGGGAGATCCGACCAGGGGAAGAAATCGGATCTGGAGCTTTTGTGGAGAGTGGAATAGATGGCGAGGGCAATTGAGAATGTTAAGATTACGGCAACGAAGCCCTTAAACGACGTCGTTAGCATGTCTCCGGTTTTCTCCTTGGGTATCGGTTTCAATGCTTTAAATGGGTCCTGACCCGAATAACAACCACCGTTCGTGCACATACTATACGAAAACGGGCCAAACCACAGAACTAAACCAGATTTGGTTTCTATTGAATTCCAGTTGTGGGGTTTGAGTTTTTTCGATGAATTTCACATGGGCTGTCCTCCATACTACGTGTTTTAGAGAGAGAAGTGTTTTAGAGAGAGAAAGAAGAGAGATTTTCTTTTTTATATTCAATTTTGAGAGGGTGGGAATGGAACAGAGAATTTATTTAGTGTTTAGAGAAGCAGAAACTCATAGCACGAAACGTATGGTGGGACTGAAATAAATTGGGTTAAGCGTTGGCGTAGGGTTAGGGTAGGGGGGTGGGGGTGGGGTTGGGGGTGGAGTGGGGGGGGTGAGGGCGGAGACTAAATTGACGGTGGGGAGTTGACGTTTGTGGGTTTTTCCTCGTACGGTTTTTAATGGTTTATTTGATGTTACAATATACGGGTAATTTGATTATTAATTGTTGATATGTATGTATAAAGACACGTGAATGTATATGTGAATTTAGGCCCGTTTGGTTGCTAGATTAAATTAGTCAAGATAAGATTAAATAATTTAATGAAATTCAATTATTTTATTGGAGTTTGTAACGTTTAACAAAAAAAACTCACTAGAAGGCAAGATAAAGCAAAATAATCCATGATTATATAACTTTAGCGGGTCGACCCGACCGATTAATAAATTTCTGGTGTATTTCGAGGGATATAGCATTTCAATAATTCGATTTTGATTTGAGATCTGATGTCCATATACTAATGTGGAAACAAAACTGTTTCGGCGGTCAGATTTGATAAATTTAGAATTTTTTTATTTTATTTCTTTATTGCTAAGATAACTTACATTAGTCACGATAAGATTAAATAATCTACTGAAATTCAATTATTTTATCTGGTGTATTTCGTCTCGGCTGTAGCATCTCAATAATTTGATTTTGATTTGAGATCTGATGTCCATATGCTAATGTGGAAACAAAACTGTTTCGGTGGTCAGATTTGATAAATTTAGAATTTTTTTATTTATCGCCGAGATAACTTACATAAATGTAAAATTACAGCAAGTTGATTATGTGCGAATTCTACGCATAAAATATTAAAATTAACGTTGAAACTGATATTATTACCATTAGAGAAGTACTTAAAAGAGGACAAAGATTGACTAAATCCCACATTAATGTGAAAAGCTATAACCGGTGGAGATGATTTAATGGAGGGTTGAATATTTATCTCGGGAAAACAATAGAAAAATTGAAATCTTTATTTACATATAATAAAGCTAGTTTGGAGAAATCATAAAGAGCAAATTTTTACCACTATTTTAGGATTAAAATTATCATATTACTTCAAAATTAATTATATGGGTGATGTTATTGGGCTAAGAATATAATAAGCCCAAAACCCATAATTAGGTATATTGGCCCAGTTAAAAGTCGAAGTAGAAATATATATTTACAATCCATAATTAAATTGATCTAGTATATAAATAGTTTAATTATCATTTCAAGTAATGAATTATTACAGTAGAATGAATTTGTGTTTACATTTATAGAGATTCTCTTCATATTTTTATAGTTGATTACTTTAGGTAGTGAAGAGTTTTCGCCGGAATCAAACTTCAGTTCTTTAAGATGTGTATTATACGCAAGAAATGCCTCATTTTCCCTCAATCAAGGAAGATTCTCGAAGAATTGTGAACGTTAGGGGTAGAAATTGGAATGAAATTTCCGAATTCCGCCAATTCCGATCCGAGAATTTCCGAATTTGGAACCATATTTTTTATTCCGATTTTCGAAGTTCTGATTTCCTATTCTTCTCAATTTATTTGGCAAATTACCGGAAAATTCGATTTTCGATCCGAATATATCTATGATTTTTTAAAATATATAATATAATTTTATAATATATATTGCAATTCCATAAATTAAACTTATGTTATAATTTATATAAAAATTATAAGTACTGAAGGGTAACTTAAAACATTATAAAAGATTAATTGGTTTCATAAACTTTATGTTATATTTTTCCTTATAAGAAAATCTATATTTTAATTTGTTGTTACTCAATATGTTTTTATTAGGGAAATTTGTTGTTACTGCGTTTCTTGGTAGTCGATTAAAGTTTAATTGATTGTTTTGGTAGTCGATTAAGGTTACTCGATTTCATTTTTTAATTCGTTTTTGAATTTTGGTGTAATGATTCCGATTTGTATAAACCAATTACAATTTATGTATAATATTTGTTTTGTAAAAAAATATTGATTTTCGTTTTTATGTAGTTGTGTTTTTTTATTTTTAGTAGTCAGTTCATTTATCGACTATGCTTCACCATATTCGATTAATATGCTTCATATTTGATTAATATACTTGATAGAGAAAAAAAACAGTTAAAGAAACGAAAAGACAAAAAAAAATTATAATAATTATAAAAAAATTATAAGGAAAAAGGCTGATGGGCAGTGATAGTGTCGTGATAGTCCTGATGAGGTGGCAGGGACATAATTGGTAAAATGATGGTTGAAATTAGGAGTGAGCTCATTTCAAATGGTGCAAAATAGTTGGGTCTCCCTCTATTAAAAGTAGTATTGTCGGAGTTTGTTGGAGTTACCATGATTTACATTCCTCCATCAAATACTTGTCGGGCCAAGGGATGGGGGCCCTGAGGGCGGGGGATTTCGCCTTTGTGGTACAAGTATTGGCGGGGTTTGTTGGAGTCTTTTAATAAAAATAATATTTTACTAAATATTTCCTTTGACCAATTTATGAGGTCATTTGGACCAACATTTTGAAACTTTATTTGCCTCACAAAATCTCCATAAATTTCCCTAATTCTATATTAAATATAACTTTTATAATGGTCTTATTTTATACTCCATCTGTTCCACAATAACTGTCTCTTTTTTAAAATATTTTTGTTCCATATTATCTGTCACTTTAAATTTCAGTACTGCATTAAATGCATTTTTCTATTTTAACCTTATTAATGAAACTCTAATCATTATTTTTCTCTTATAAATCATTAAATAATAAATGTTGTTTTAGTCATTTTTATATGATTTTTCTAAAATCAAGATATATTTATTGAGTTTCTTAATCTTTGTGAAAAGTGAAAAGAGACACTTATTTAGGAACGGATGGAGTATTATATAAAAAGGGGCTTTTGTAGCTTTGTATAAGCATGAGAGAAAGAAGAAGAAAAGTATATTTCTAAAGATATATACTCTATACTATATTGGAAATATGTTAAGCTCTTGTTGTTGCGTCGGGTGTAAACTTCTACTTTATTTGAACGTGCAGTTTCGATGAAGTTACAACAGAGAGATAGGCTGGGTTGGTGTATCCCCATAGGCGACATGATCGGAACCTTTCTGCACGTCATTTGAGAAGGGGTCGTGAAATTCGTCTTAAGAGAGCGACCTAGTCCGCGCCTCACCTTGTCTATCTTCATATTATTATGTATATTAATGCAGCTAATTGTCAAATATGAAAAGAAAGAGCAAATGAAGTTCGAGCCTCAATCCGTAATTCCGTAATCAATCGTCAAAGTGCAACCAAAGTTCCGACAATGTTACATCAAAGAACCCCTTTTTATTGCATTTTGTCGAACTTTCTTTTGGATTTTCTTTCATTTTCCTGCAAAATTTCAAAAAAAAAAAAAATAGAAAACTATGGTGAAAATTTTAATTATATCCGAATTTGGAACAAGAGATTATAAACTAATGCAACTTCCAAAATTCCGCCAATTCCTAGGCATTCCATAATCGGGGTGAATTTTTTAATTTCGATTTTTTTGGAACGAAAATTGTAACCCACTTTTACTTCTGAAAAAAATTTGAAAATTTTCCGAAAACCATTTCATGATCCATTTCGTTCGATTTGCACCCCTGGTGAACGTTCTCAAAGACTTATTGCATATTCGAGGATTGTTTTGAGAAGATTCGAGTTAATTTATTGTTGACCGCATCACTAATATATTTTCAAAAAATTGTATTTTTCGTTGAACTCGTCGCACAATTGTCATGATAGGATATTTGAAAACTCAGGGCTGCTAACACATGGCTGAAAATCATTTTTTTAAAAAAGTTATATGATTCATTAAGATCTGAATCTCCAAACCCATATATATGATTCGTTAAGGTTTATATTTATCTGCAGTGTAACAATCCTATGTAAGAGTAGCGTAAAACGGCTGTACAAACCATCTTCATTCGTTCGAGGATGAAGAAGTAATTTTTTCTTTATTTGTTTTCCGATAAACCATTTCTGAACTTATTAGCCGGATACTATGTGTTTATGTGTTGAACCTTTGTTCCTTTTCGTTCATCTCTATTTTGGTTTATACATTTTCCATTTACCCTTTTTTTTTTTTTTCTATAATTATAGTGTTAAATGTTGAAATAACAAATTCCTCTAAAAAATCACATAAAAGTTACGAGGATCCTCTGTGAGTTGGCTGATGGTTGACAACCAAATATTTGGTTCCAAAATGGGTTCGTCGATGGGTATACTGTATACCCGCCACCTACTTCACTTCTAAAAATCCAAATTTTGGAGTAAAAGTTTCCACAACCTAGTGTCATTATACCATCATCATGTATAAGTTCAAAATAATTAATATTAGTTCCACAAAAAATACAATTATGAAATCCAAATTAGTTTTAAACTTGCAGAGTCGGTTATAATCTCACATTGTCATAATCACTCATCGGTTTATAAAAATTAAAAGTAAATCAACAAAAAACCTACATCAAAGTTCAAACTTCAGTTTATTGTCAAAATTATATTTTAAAAAAAACATCCCTCATTTAGAAATTGAAATAAAATTTTATAAAATAATTGGTTGACTGATAATTATCGGTTAACCAACTACTGATGATATTAGAAACCATCAACCGACCCATTATAGATGGATTGATTGAAATTTTCGACCATATTCAATGGATTGATTAAAAAATTATAATCAGTCTAAAAATATGATCGGTTATAAATCGGTTGTTAGATAAAAACCAACTTAGTTGCAACCCTAGTTAAAAGTTCATTTTAATGTTCCAAATCGGAGTTCTTACATGGTTTATACATCTATTAAGTATGATTTCTACCGCAAGTGCTTTAGAGAATTCGATCTCATTAATTGCTTCTTCATTTTTTCTATTGGGACGAGGAGGGGTTAGGATCGGAGTGTGGTATGATGAGTTAAATTTTGAGCACAAGTCGTAAAACAATTAGTTCCTATAAAAACGCGTTCTCGTGTCATTAATTCATGCATTTTTATATTAATGAATACAATTAATGGTCT